CATGCATGCTCATCATATTAAGATATTGAAACCTATTGCCGCGCTCATAATTCCGCTCTATACTTTTAGGAATTATATTTATATATAAATCGCCAGTTACTACAATACGTTTATGTGATTTAATCGTTTCTAAGTGTTGGTTTAGAGAGTTAATAAAGATGTCAGCATTACTATTAGATGGTGAGCGATATATACCTAAAATGGTAGTATCATGAGTATCAATCTGTAAACATGAAGCGTGCTCAAGTCTTATTTCTTTGACATTTCCTTTAACACCTTTTATCACATAAACGAACACTCCATCACTTTGATTGAGATGATAATTAGTAGCGAAATATGAATAGTTTGTCATATTTGGGATTATTTTGTTGTCCGTAAGCCAAAATTCTGTTAATACAATAATATCTGGATCAAAATTTAAACGTGAGGGTCAGGTGTAGATCTTCAATATTACTGCAAACACATAGTAATCTGAGATTACTTATGATCTTCGATGAATTAGAGATGATGAATGAGAGATCAGAGAATCAGAATCATCATTTATAAGTAGTATAATTGAGAGCAGGCAGCACAGATCACTATTACTCCTAGGCAGGCAGTGCCAGTTGTCACTTAACAAAGGCCTTTTGTGTTTGGGCATACGCCATGTTCAAACAACAATAATTCTTAAAGTAATAAACATACAGCTGCAAACTTTATGTTGCATTGTAGCTTAACTCAAAATCTGTCGATCTAGTACAAAAATAAGAAGGGTAAATGGGGTTGTTTTTGCAGTAATTTACAATAATTTGCCGATTAGCATATTTTTTTGATATTTATTTGAAGTTAAATTTTTTTTCTTCAAAGTTACAAGTATGTCAACAAAAATTTTGATAATGTAAACGATAAACAATATTATTGGCCTCCGAATGAGTTAATTTTTATCTCAGTAGGACTAAAACTTTGAAAGATATGACTTTTTTCGTAAACGCGTAGAGAATATCTCAAGAGAAAAACAAAATGGCTGCCAAATAGAGGGGGAGGGGGGATTAGACCTCAGTGTGTAGTGTATTTTAATATTAAAATAGCTGTATTATAAGTACCTAAAATATCGCTAGTCCGTGACCGGACACACTGTATATGCGAGTGTAACTTAGATCGAGTTTGAAAGGTCTGTCACAGTTTTTAAGTTGCCAATAGACAATCAGTTCACAATTCATTATAAGTGAAAAAAAGATTTCGGAGCTATTAATTTACAGGATTAAAGTTTGCAAAATGAAATAAGTTATCAATTACGTTGGGTTGTATGTAAGTGTGTATGAATTTTAGATGAGTAGTTAGCAATAACATGTAAGTTGTTGCAAAGTATGAAAATAAGTGTGTATAGTGTAACACTGATGTTTGTGTGACAATGAAATTGTTTCAATAGACAAATAAATAAAAAAATAATTAAACAATTCATGAAAATAAGGTATACAGAGAACATAATGAACATTTGTAGATACAAGAAAAAATTATAAATATTACGTTTTTATAGGAATATTCTACGGTTAACACTGAATCTAGTCATTGGTCCTGTTGAATTTGTGCTTCAGGTTTAATTTTTATTATACGAGAGTTTTCGTCTCTTCTCACATAAATTTTGCCATAAGCTGTCCAACAGAATTTATATTTCTTGGATCTGACGAGGTCTCGGGTGAGGAAGTATAGTCGAGAGCCTTTTGCTGTGAGCTGCTCTGAAACAAAGACGGGAGTATCTTCTTCTGTGTGAAATCCCAGATGCTTAGCAGATAGCTTAATCTTATGCTTGATATTAAAGGCCTTGCTCTTTTTCAGTATTTCTGTTTTTAAAAGTGTTGAACATGTTTCCACGATAATTGGAGTATTGCGTAAATTATCCTGCTTTCCGCGCACCCTATAGATGTCCTTGATATCAGTCTTATTTAAGTAGCAACCAATGTTTTTCGACAAACATGTTACCATATTAAAGAGGTCTTCTTTGGTTTCACCCGATTTCTTAGGCACGTTTTTAATTTCAAAATTGGTTTTACGGTTGTTCATTTGTGAAACGTCAATCAAAGGCGTATGTAGGCAACAGACTGATTTATTGTCGAGAGAACTAACCTACCCGCCACCGTAACAATAATCACATAGCAACTAACCTTTAATACGTTACATCTCTCCCCACTTAGCTTACAACTACATATATATATATATATATATATATATATATATATATATATATATATATATATATATATATATATAAACCTTAACGCTAAACTTACTCTATAGTTTTTTTGCTCGCTTAATACCCGCAGGGCACGAGCAGATATTTGTGGTGACGTCGGTCCAGGCACAGGCCGTGACGATGTTCGCTCGACTTGTGCCTGCGGCGATTGCACCTCCTCTAACGACTTGCTCTGGGCTTCGTCCGCACTGATCGCGTCATCCGGCACTTCACCCTCGGCCCTACTGAACTTTGGTGCATCCGACTTCAGATCGGCGGTCGCATTTGCCACAGATGCAGCACTCGTGCGCGACAAAGAAAATCTATTTTTATCTAGGACTACTTGATCGACATGTCTACGCCATTCGACACCGTCCCCTATGTTTACTTTGTAGGAATACCGGTCCCGTCTTTTTAACAACCGTGGCTTTAGTCCATTTGTCTCCCCTCGTTCTGTAGTCGCGAGCGAGTACCTCATCCCCCACGTGGAACTCCCTGTGTGCACCGGCGGAGCGTGCTAGCTGCTGTTCTTGCTTGGCGCGCACCGCGGCCGTTACGTCCGGCCGCAGTGCGTCCATCCGGCTGCGCAACCGCCGCCCCTGCAACGCAACCGCGGGTGACACGCCCGTCGTCGCGTGCTCACAGTTTATAATTTCTTGTTTCCTAATTTTATGAAAGATTTATGGAACACAGAATTGTATTTTATAATAAAATAAAACTGTAGACAAAGTGGACGGACACGTTAGCTTCTTACGACGGCCGGGGGGGGAAGAGAAAGAAGAGGATTTTTGCCTTAGATGTTCAGGACAAGTAGGGTCTTTTGCGGTGTAGGAATCTGAGCAGAATAGACAAGTAGGAGTTTGTCGAGTACAAGATAAACCTTCATGATTCTGTGCACATACAAAGCAGCGAGGGGATGATCGACACTGGGAAGTAACATGGCCAAATCTACAACATTTATGGCACTGAATTAGTGGAAAAATTTATTTTTCCACTGGCATAGAGGTGTAAAAACAGTAAATATGGGGAGGAAGTTTTTGTCCAGAAAAAGTTAGAACGGCTGTCTGAGTTGGAACCCATGAAACGCTATTGCTGTCACTCACTGTACGTCTATTATGTCGCCGTGCTTTAATTATAGAACCGTAGCCAGAGGGAATTTCTATAGCTGCTATTAATTCTTCTAGTGTCCACTCTATGGGAACCTGTCTAACTAACCCCATACGAGTGATACTATATGAGGGGATGGTTGCTTCATATTTAGAAATTTGGAGAGCTGGGTGATCGATAAAGGTGTTTGCATCTGCTGCTGTTTTAAACTCCACTGATATTATATTTCGTCCAACATTTTTGACTCCATCACGGACTATATTTTTAATATTGTTATGATACAGAAAGTGACCGAATTTAATTGGTTTAGGAGTTACTCCAGACAGCTGATCATTTGAGATTTTACTTACGTGAACTAGAAAAGGAGCGGCATCATCTTGAGAGTACTTAACTTTTTAAGCTATTGCATAGCCTGTATCGCGGGCCTTGAGCGCGGGGACCGAATCCAGAAATTCCGTAACGAAAAAAAACCTCACGTTCCCCACTCCGACGGGCACGGAGGTGTGGCGTTGAAAGCCGTGCATCGTCTAACGTCGTTTCAGTTCGGCAGACTTCGGCACTCGGCAGACTTCGGCACGGTGTTTGTGTGCGTGCGACTAGACGTATGCGTGTACACTAGCTGCTAACTGAATTATAAAAATTCCTACCTACATGTATTGTAAGATATTAAAAATATTTTAAACAATATTAACTTCTCATTTATTCAATAAGAGAAAAAAAATTGTTTTCTTATCGGTCACCACACTCAAAAAGTGTAACTTGATTTAATATCAAAGACTTAACTTCATAAATAAAATAAATAAATAATTATAATTGCATAAGTTGATAAAAAATGCTATGCAATAGCTTTACCGCGGCAGTCACCGAGTGCCACACGTATTTTTTTATTAATAAAATCAGGATGGGCATATGAGGATTGTATTGAAAGAAACTGTTGATTTGGATCACTAATAACTATTTTTTGTGGATGGGCAGACTCGTTACTTACTTGGGCACGTTTACGGTTAATTAGTTCCATATTATCAATATTAATGGGTAAGGAAAAGGAATCATTGCGAACCCTTCCGGGATCGGGAGGTTCGTCCTCCATTATATTACTACAAAAAAAATTACATAAAAACGGCACAACTACAAACACTTACTAATTTACAGATATTAAAACCTCCACCAAGACAGAAAAATTTACTATAGTAAATCAACAACACTTAATAAAACAATAAATTTTAAGCAAAAAAGGCACGACACTTGTATCTCTCACTTCCTCAATCCTGAAAATCCCCCCACAAATCCCCCCAATTATATATCCGAAAACATTCTGACAGAAGAATCCCAAAATTGTTTCTTGTTTAATGTTCCTTATTTTAGTTCAGGACACGCTGGCAACATTCTTTTTATGTCAATACAATTTGCATTTCTTTTCTTAGCAAATAGCAATATTTTTATTCGATTTCGACGTTTTAACTTCAGATTTTCACTTTGCGATAATTTAATTTTATCCATTAAAACAAGTAGAAATAGTTCTGTTTGAATTATTTCAAGTGATATAAGATTTTACCTTTTTCTTTTTATAAGAGACAAACGTAAAACAATACTACGAAATTGAATTCTTGTTATCGTTATTTCACTCATGTGCAATGCAATGTAATGTGATAGTTGGCTAATTTTCCTGTATTTAGTATCGACCATGAAATCCAGTAAACGAAGACTTCAAGCGCTTACAGAAGGCTCTGATGGACTACCAAATTACATTAAAATGGACGATTCCGAAACTTCAATTCCACCAGTACTTAGATCTCGTTTGCATGATCTATTTTCTCAAATAGAAAAAGAGTTTGACCTTCTTTACGCTGAAAATTTAAATCGTAAGTTTATTCATTATTGCATTAACCATATGATGAATTATTTAGTGGTTATCGTCTTTATCATATTAATATAATGTTTTAGTGCAAGAAAAGATTGACATTCTTAGTGAAAAACTAGAAAGGGAGAGCTATGTAGGCGATAGACAGAATCAAGATTGCATTGAATTTGAAACCACAGGCAAGAATTCTAAAGTAAAATGTAAGTATTAAAAAAATAATTTAAACTAAATTATAGCACAATGTAATGTTTTTTTTTACATAATTTGGAAATTGTAAATATTATGATGCATTTTATGAGATGGGAGAACTCCAATGGCATGTAGCAGAAGCTTCACAGTCTTTGTAATATTACTAGTTTTTACGGAATTTATCGCGTATATTTAACTTTTTAAATACCCGACGTTTCGAGAGCTTTACAGCACCCATGGTCACGGGAAGGACTGAGATGTTCAACATCCAGATGTCATAGTTAACCGCGGTTACCATAGATTAAAATTTAACTTTTGTTCCGATCTACACAGTATGAACTTATGGTATCATGAAGTCTTGCAGTTGTATGCTTGGGTTGGGATTTAATTTTATTTATTATAGGATCCCAAGCAGATGGTAGCACCCAGCCATCTTCTCTATTGAAATTAGGATGTTTTTTTATTTCAATAGCCTCGCGAATCATCCTTGGAAGGAATCGGTGTTCTTTAGCGAGGATTTGTGGTCTATCAAATCTGATGTAGTGATGGAGGCGATCCTGTACATGTTCACAGACTGCAGACTTCCCGGAGCGTCGATTCTTCACATCAGCTATATGTTCTTTAACGCGGGTTTTAATTGATCTTTTAGTTTGTCCTATGTAGGAGAGACCACATTACAATCAAGCTTGTACACTCCTGCATTTTGTAGAGGGACGTTACACTTGACTGATGGTAAAAACTGACCAATCTTCTTCGGCGGCTTGAAGTATGTTTTGATAGAAGCGCGCTGCAAGATGTAGCTAATCTTGTCAGTGACTCCTCTAACATATGGCAGTACAGCAGGTACACGCTCGACTGTGGCCGGCTTCACTCGTTCTCTGTGATGTAGGTGCGGGACCCGAAGCTTGTTGTCGTGCAAAACTTGCTTGACGTGTTGGAGCTCGGCGACCAGGTGTTTACTGTCACAGATCCCTCGTGCTCTCTGAAACAAATATTTACCCACGGTAGCTAACTGTGAAGGATGGTGGTGAGAATCACCGTTTAAATATCTATCTGTATGGGTCTTTTTTCTATACACAGTATGGCTCAAGGTGTTATCAGGATTCCGAATTACTAACACATCTAGGAAAGCTAAGGAATTGTTTGCCTCTAACTCCATTGTGAACTGAATTTTAGAATTTATAGAGTTAAGGTGGTCTAAAAATGCAGTTACTTTATCTAAAGGTAGAATTGTGAAAGTGTTGTCTACGTACCGCTTGTAGAATCTTGGATTTATGGGAGAAGTAAGCAGGGCTTTCTCCTCAAAGTCTTCCATGAATATGTCGGCGACAATGGGAGATACAGGTGAGCCCATCGCCACACCATCTACTTGCTTGTAGAACTCCTCCTTCCACAATAGGTAGCCAGATGTAAGGCAGTGTCTGAGTAATACTGCATATTCTATGGGCATGTTGTTTTCTTCCAGCCTTCTAGTTACAATTGAGATGCAGTCTTCAACAGGTAAGCATGTAAACAATGACTGCACATCAAAACTGACCATAGTTTCATTGTCTGCCAGAAGTAGGTCTTTAATCTCAATGACAAAATGGTAGGAATCCTTTATGTGTACTCTTGTATGTCCCCTGAGTGGTGAGAGTATTTTCGCTACGTGTTGAGCAAATCTGTAAGTTGGTGAATCGATTTGGCTCACTATGGGACGTAATGGAGCATTGGGCTTGTGTATTTTTGGTAACCCATACAACTTTGGTGATTAGGCGCACGTAGGTATTATCCATTTTACGTCCAGATTTAATTTTTCGGAGTGGTTCTTTATGAGATGAGATGAGAGTTCTTTATGATTCACTAAAAACAACTAGTGACTAGTTGTTTTTAGTGTGCTATTTGTTGGGTCGTTTTTAACTTTTTTATAAGTACTTACATCCAACAAAAGTTCTTGTATTTTAGGATTATAATCTGACGTATCCATGACTACCGTGGCGTTTTCCTTATCTGCGCGGAGAATCGTAAGTTCTGGTTTAGTGCTTCTGAGCCATGTCAATAAGTTGTTTTCTAGGGTCGTCACAAATCAACTCAATGTTTCGAGGGTCATCATAAATCATCACAAATCAACAATGTGGAGACTTGACTAATTTAAACCACCCGAGCATGCTGGGTTTCGAGGAGGCTGTGGCACCATGGACCACATTCATAGAGAAAGGCAAATTATACAGAATACAAATGTGTATAATCTACCTCTGTGTCTGGCCTTTGTGAACTATGAGAAAACCTTTGACTCCATTGAAACTTGGGTTGTTGTAAATTGCAGCAGCATTGCCAGATTGACTGGCAATATATAGATGTCTTGAGAAATTTAAACACTACAAGCTTGATGTCTGTACAAGTACAGGTCTCACAATAACTATCCAATTGCATTGTGGAGTGAGACAATGGGACACAATATCCCCGAAATTGTTAACAAATACACTGGAAGATATTTTTAAGATGCTAAACTAGAATGGATGCTGTATGATAATGATATCACACTTACGCTTTGCAGATGATATCGTCATCATGGCGGAATCACTGCAGAAACTACAAGATATACTGAGCAGCTTAAATGAATCCTTCCAATGTCTGCATATGAATTTAAATAAGACGAAAGTCATGTCATACCAATTCCGATTATCATTGATAGTGAAATTCTTGAAGTTGTTCAAGAGTATATCTACCTGGGCCAAATAATGAAGATAGATAAAAACAACTTCCAAAAAGAAACCGATAGGCGGATGCAGTTCGGCTGGGCAGTGTTCGGAAAGCTTTGTAACCTATTCTCATCATCCATACTGTAAAGCTTGAAGACGAAAGTCTTTGGCTAGTTTGTCCTGCCAGTACTCACATATGGTGCCGAAAAGTGGATACTAACAGTATAACTACTCCATAAATTCAAAGTCACCCAGCAGACGATGGAAAGAGCTATGCTCAGAGTTTCTCTGGTGGATAAAATTCGTACCAAAGAAATCCACTGGAGAACCAACATCACCGACGTAGCTTTCCGTATTTGCAGACTGAAGTGGCAATAGGCTGGTCACATTTATCGCCATTGGAGTTGGTGTGTAATAGAGTGGAGACTGCATTTCTGTAAAGATTGTGTGGGGCGCCTCCTGACTAGATAGAGTGAGAATCTGCGCATGGCGGCTGGCAGCAACTGGATGTGTGAAGATCAGGCTAAGTGGCGCGCTTTAGGAGAGTCCTATGTCCAGCAGTGGACTGCCGCAGGCTGATGATGATGTTTAAATCTTATGATGTTCGACCAATAATTATAATTATAAGCAGTTATTTTTATTTGTTTATGTCACCTTTTCTCTTACTACAAGTATTTCTATACTGTCATAGCTTGCTATTTATTAACTAGATGAAAATTAACTTCTTAATTTTTTTTTTAACATGGTAGAGCCATGTTGCAGCTATATTATAGTTGTAGCACAAATGGTTCGGCTTGACTGGAAATGACCACACTCTCACAGAATACCGGCATAAAATAGCAGACAAATGCTGTGTCTCATATGGTGAGTGTAGGGAACCGGAACCCTTTATACAGGATATTGGAGACTCCATCTTAATCCTCAAGGGTGACAATGCATCTGCATTTTGATTCTTAATCGAGGATAGATGTAGATATCTATGGGTCACATCATTCACTTACCTTATACTTCTTTTATAAAAAAACTGGCTACTCAGTGTGAATTCAAAGTAACCAATATACGAGGGGTGATCCAAAAGTAATGATAATGAAAATAAAACACGGTAATTAAAGTTAAAATAATAATTTATTTTTCTACATAGTCTCCTAACAAATCAATACATTTAGTCCGTCTTTTTTCTAAACCCAGGATTCCCTTTGAAAAAAATTCTTTGTCTTGACCCTCCCAAAACGCTTCAACAGCGGCCATTACTTCGCTATCGTCTTCGAATTTCTTGCCTCGGAGGCGTTGCTTGAGCCGAGGAAAGAGGTAGAAGTCACTAGGAGCTAGATCTGTCGAATAGGGAGGGTGTTAGAGCAGTTCGAATCCCGTTTCTTGAATGGCAGCCATCGCAACTGCGACTTTGTGAGCCGGTGCGTTGTCTTGGTGAAACAGCACTCCGGCTCGCAGTTTGCCGCGTCTTTTTTCCTTAATGGCCTCCCGTAATCTTCTTATTTGGTCTGCGTAGTAAGAGCTCGTAATAGTGGCTCCCTTTTCCAAATATTCCACCATAATTATGCCTTGAGCGTCCCAAAAAATAGATGCCAAACCTTGCCCACCGAACTTGAAACTTTAAATTTCTTTGGCGTCGGTGAGGAGGCTCGCTTCCAAGTCATCGATTGTTGTTTCGTTTCAGGATCAAAATGGTGGATCCAGGTCTCGTCCATAGTCTTGTATTGTCCATAGTGTCTTCATCTGCTTGTTCCAAGCTTTTCGAGATTGGCCCTCGAAATGTCAACTCGATTTTTCTTTTGATCGACGGTTTTTAGTTTTTAGTTTTAGTTTGCAACGGGCTGTTTTCCGCAACTCCACGTCTCTGCGCGTATTTTGCGTGTGGGCAGGAATAATGTGATTATTCGAGCCATGAGATCTCCCCCGAAGAAGCTCAACAGTCCCTTGATGTTGCATGCAACTTTGGGGAGTGATCCCGGCGTGCCGAGATGTTTAGCCCTGTACGTAGCGACCTCCGGACATTTCAGTAGCACGTGGGCCGCCGTTTCTTCCTCCCCCATACATGCCCTGCACAGGGGACTATCTGTAACACCTATAGTAAATAAATGTTTGTTAAAGGTGCCATGTCCTGTGATAGCACTAGTTACTATCCTGATCTGCGGCTTGTTCAGTCTCATTAGAACTTTGGTTAAGCGACTGTTTATTACAGGTAGGGCCTCCCTAGCTTGTCTACAGTCTATTAGATTTTTCCAAAGCTGAGCGTGTTGATTAGTGAAGTGTCTACGTACCATTGAACGAACGTTACCAAAGGGGATTGGTATGATTGGTTCCGGCCCTATAGTGGCCAGAGCCGATCCTCTTCTGGCCAGTTCGTCCGCTGCATCGTTGCCTCTGGATCCACTGTGTCCCTTTATCCATTGTAGAGTCACATTGTTGTTTTTACATACCTCATTTAATCGTTGATGGCATTCATATATTAGTCCCGAGTTCACCCCATTGCAACTCAGAGCTTGTAGTACCGCCCTACTGTCGGTCAGTATTCTGATGGGGAAGTCATTAACCTTCCTAGCATCTATTGCTATGGCCGCTTGAATGATACCCATACATTCCGCCTGAAAGACCGTGTTATAGGTACCCAGCGGTGTGCATATGTGAATATTGAGGTCTTCAGAGAAAGCTCCAGAACCTACACCTTCCTTTGTTTTAGAACCATCGGTGAAAATTCTAAGCTCTTTTGGGCTTAATCCTTCCGGCTGGCTGTTTTCATTTAATTGTATCTTGTATTTCTTATCGAAAACAAATTGTTTAGGAATCCTATCATATTTGGCTTGTAGGATAGGAATTTCTGAGTAAATTCTATCAATTATGCCTGTATGAGGGACACTATTCTTACTCCAAAGATTTAGGGTCTTGAGTCTGATGGCAGCTAAAGTCGCTTCTTGTTGTATATGTAGATGAAGCGGAGTTAGCTCCAGCATCGCTTCCAAGGCTGCTGTTGGCGTAGTTCTTATGCAGCCTGTGGCAGCCATACATGCCAGTCTCTGGTAGCGCTGAAGCTTCTTAATTGTGGTGGCTTCATTGGTCTTGGTCCACCATACCAGAGCGCCGTATGTGATCATGGGCCGGATTACAGTTTTGTAAAGCCACAGTATGATTTTTGGCGTCAGTCCCCATCTTTTGCCAATCATGTTTCTGCATTGCCAGAAAGTTATACTAGCTTTGTTGATTTTGTTTTCTATGTTTTTATTCCAGTTAAGTTTGCTGTCCAAGGTAAGACCTAAATATTTTACCTCAGAGGATAGCTGGAGTTTTGTGCTGAAAAGACTTGGAAGATGATAGTTATTCAGCATCCGTTTTTGTGTGAACATTACTAAAACCGTTTTATTTGGGTTGATCGACGGTTAACATTCTGGGCACCCAACGCACAGAGACCTTTTTCATATGCAACTCGTTCACAAGGATTCTTTGAACGCTGCCATATGAGATCCCTGTGACCTAAGCTACATGCCTGATGGTCACTCTTCGCTCTGCCAACAAAACATCTTCGACTTTTTTTCACGTTATCTTCAGTGAAGGACGTGGATGGCGTCCTTGGCGATGTTCATCTTCAGTGGATGTTCTGCCCAGTTTAAACTCCTTGGTCCAGCGTGCAACTGTAGAATATGGAGGAGTAGAGTCCCCCAATGTTTCCAATAAGTCACTGTGTATGTCTTTTGAAGACATTTTTTTCAAAAAGATGTACTTGATGACAGCTCTAATTTCGTTTTTCTCCATGTTGATGTTATCTCTTTGACAGTTCGTATTCAAATGAATATATATCCCGGAAATCGTGATCTGTTTATATGATTTTTTTTAGGCTGACATAGTGAGTATATAAGCAAGCAAAAAATATATGTTTTTTTGGATTTTTATGCGGACCTGAAGTAACCGATTATCATTACTTTTGGATCACCCCTCGTATATGTAAAAGTAATATAAACTGTCTAATATACTTTTCCACCAAAAAATTATTACCCTTCTTTAAAAAGTAATCAGTTAATGAGCAAAGAGAATATTATCAAAAACAGCAATCAAATGCTTTACTAACTACTGGCTTCAATACATAAATCCTGATAGTGAATAATTAATATTTCAATAAGCAATGGAAAGAGATATGCTAAGGGTTTTTAAATCTACCGAAGAGCCAGAACACAGTAACCATAACCTTCAATATTTGCAAATGGAATTAGTTATGATCTTTTCAAAACTGTTGCAAAAATGATAACACACTTGGAGTAGAAGTTACTTCTATAAAGTAAAAATTGAGCTGGGTGAAACACAGTAAACAATAGCAGACATTACATAGGTAGATAAACATAGAATAGAATAATTTTAATTCAATATAAAGTTAAGGTTACAGTCTATATTCATTCCACTGCTGGGCACAGGCCTCCTCACATTCCTGAGAGGATTTTAGGGCAGTGAAGAGTCTTCCGCGCTGCCCCTTGCTGGTTTATTATTAGTAATATCTATACTACGAGTTTGTTCCAGTAATTGACCATTTTACCTACAGACATGTGGCATTGCGAAAATAACTTTTTTTTAAATGCGTATAAAGTAAAAAAAAATGATTATTTGAAAAAAAAAAATAAGATAAAGTAAAGTAAATAAGTAAAGGCATGAAAGTTAGAGAAATGTGCTGGAAATATAATATTCCCCACACAACTGCCATGAAACAACATTATGAGTCTTGTAGCATTAATGATTACATGATACTTATAGATTGGTTTTAAGTTGTGATGATTACTCATCACAAAACTAAATTAATTCATTAAAAGCATTCTTTTTTTACTGGTTCACTACTGGCACAATGTCTGGTGTGTTTCTGGTACAATCTGGTCCACTTTAAGCACATTGCGACTTGAAATATTCATTTTTAAATAAAAATAAATTTAATAGCTATTAAGAAAATTGGAATAAGCTACATGATTATATGGTAGATTAGGAGTATAATGATTTTTTTTTTCAATAATTGTTGCAATAATTGAGTCACATCATCAAAATTTGTTTTAAAAGTGTCACTTAATTGGTTTGTTACTGGTGCACCCACCCTAAATTGTTGCGTGGAGTAATTCTTATTGAGTCATTTTTATTTTTTCACTATTGAGGGTCTATATAGGACAGCTGGTAGACAGTAATGGGATGCATTATAATAAATAGAGCTAAGTGGCATGCCTTGTGAGAGGCCTATATCTGTGTGAAGTTCAGGCTGCTGGCATTGATAGAAGCAGAATTTTGGGGATATAAAATTGTTAAGTACTACATAAATAATAAATAAAAATTATGTTTATTTTCAAGTCAAATATTGGGAATGTGTTGACACTTTCATTGATAAATATGATGATATAAACATACACATTTTAAGATAATTGAATGAATCAGGCGTTACTTTGCGGACATGTTAGCAAATAAGGAATTGGTTGACTAATTGAATAATAATAATATAATAAATAAAACTAACAAAACCGGATACCTTATAGATATAGCAGTCCCTAATACGCACAATCTACAAACTACAATAGCTGAAAAACTCTCTAAATATGCAGAACTTAAAGATGAAATAACTCTACTCTGGCATCTTCAAAAAGTAATTATAGTGCCCATTGTCCTATCGACAACCGGCGTAATACCGAAGCAATTACACCAATCTGTAAAAACTTTAAATTTACCATCCAATACATACAAACTTTTACAGAAAGCTGTAATACTGAATACATCAGAATAGTTAGGAAGTTCCTGCAAAAAGAAGAACAAACCATACCTCCTATACTTAGACAAATTGCCTCACAACCTAACACACAGGTAACTGAATAAGGTAGTTCACAGGATAGCACCAAATCCAGCACTAATATACACTTGGCTTAGGCCCGTGCTATTAGTAAACCGGTAAAAGCCGAGATATGAAAGCAAACAAAATAATAATAATAATAATAATCTTTATTGATAAACATATTACATGCACCAAATTTACAGTGGTCATTAGCCCCTAAACTAGGATATAATACCTGTATTTCAGGGGCTAGACATAATAGGTACTTATGTCATTACTAGAACTAGTGCAATAACTGGAGCATAGGAGGAAGGTGCTGCTAGTGTAATAACTGGAACACAGGAGGAACGTGCTTGTCTTTTTACTTGACTTCCCTAAAAGGGAGGGTAATGTTTTTCGAATGTTCTGTATATATGTTTGTTTGCATGCTGTGTAGCCTAAATGGCCTTAATTGTGGAAGTGACAAATGGATAGATATTTGAATTTTTCTCTCTTCAGTAGATTTCAACCGCAAGCACTTTTTTTTTTAATTACTGTCGGGTTTGTTAAGAATTTTGTTATCATTCAAGTAGCCAATTTTGGGGATAATTTTTACTCCTTCGTAATTTTATCTTGTTAGTCTGTCCTGGTATCATGATAACTTATTATGTAGAAGTAATTAAGAGTGACAAAGCAAATTTATATGGCAGATGTGAACGGCCGAGTCGGGAAGGGACGCCCTAGAAAAGAGTTTATCGACCAAATTGGCGATATTTTGAAAATGGACCACGTTAGAAGTACCCTTAACCGACGAGCATGTATGCGTAGATATATGGATGTAAAGGAGGCGAAAGAGGTATGTCAGGATCGTGCCAAATGGAAGTCCGTAGTCTCTGCCTACCCCTCTGGGTGACGGGCGTGAGTGTTTATGTATGTATGTATGTATGTAGAAGTAATATAGGAGGTTTATAAGAAATATAAAAAATAACAAATTTTTTTACTATTCTAAGCCATTACTTCACTACTATCTGATCTGGAGATGGTAAAGCACACTGACTTATCTTAACAAAAGCCAAATTACTCTTACCTCAAAGACATCTAAATTGTAATCGGATGAAAAGACAAGATAAAATAGGAGATTGTTATGATCACTTTATTTAAGAATTAAAATTATTGTTTCAGTAACTCAAAGTAACTCTCAGAAAGTAAAAGCAAGTCATAAACTTCGTGTGCAGACCAGTAAGATAGTGTCCAGCTTTAAAGCGCCTACATACAATTGTCAACTTGTAAGAGAGTTCACTGGACACAAAGATGGTATCTGGGATGTGTCTTCCGCTAGACCAGGGCAGGCACTGTTTGGAACTGCTTCTGCTGGTAATGTATCAAATAATGTTTTAATAGAATTAGTGTGATTTTTCAGTGGTAGAGCCACGCGGCAGCTTTGCTGTTGCACGTATGGGTCGGCTCAAACCGGGGTGGTACCACAACCTCACAGAATACCGGCGTGAAGTGGAAGCTCTGCTTCCGCGTTTCGTCTGTGAGTGCAGGTGGCCGGAGGCCCAAATCCCCCCCCCCCCCCCATCAACATGGTAGCGGAATCAAATGATGATAGACTACCCCAGGAGGGTAGACTACCCCTGGAGAATCCCTCGCTAAGCATCCACGACCATGTTTATCCACTTCTGAGCGTGGGTGCTCAGGCTGCCCCGCTTATTCTGGGGGGGGGGGCAAAATTCCGCTCAAGACTACAACTGCTCGGGGCAAACGGAGCAACAAGACCAAGGCGACCCCTGCCACGCTGTCCGTGAATTTCTGCAATATCAGGGGACTTCACTCTAACCTAAACGCCGTCCACTACCATCTCGAGACGGCGATGCCGGCTCTGCTCTTTCTGACCGAGACGCAGGTGTCCTCTCCGGCTGATGTCTCGTATCTCTTCTACCCGGGGTACAAACTGGAACACTCCTTTGTGCCTCGGGCTGGAGTTTGCGTTTACGTCAGAGAGGACATCTGTTCTCGACGCCTCGGCAGACTTGAAGGTTAGGACCTGTCCATCCTTTGGCTACGCGTAGACAGCGACGACCATCCGCGCGTCTACGGGTGCCTCTATAGGTCCCATAGCGATAGCGGTAATGCCGAAACAGACCGACTCTTCGACCACGTCCAAATGGCTACAGATTTGTTGCTACAGTAGGTCCCCTCCGCAGAGATCGTGATCCTCGGCGACTTTAACGCCCATCACGCCGAATGGCTTGGTTCACGTTTAACCGATCATGCGGGGAGATCTGTTCATGATTTTGCCTTGGCATATGGTCTGACACAACTGGTTACTTCGCCTACGCGGATTCCAGATGTGGAGGATCATGCACCTTCCCTGTTGGACCTTCTGCTGACCTCTCACCCGGACGGATATCAGATTTCCGTCGACGCCCCTTTAGGCTCCTCGACCATTGTCTTGTTCGGAGTGTGGTGCCACTCACGCTGAAATCGCAGTTGCATTCTGCAGGCTGCCGCCGTGTTTAGCACTATAGGTCAGCCGATTGGGATGGGATGCGGTCTTTCTTTGCATCCTACTCTTGGGAGCGGGTTTGCTTCTCGCCGGACGATCCCAACGTTGTTGCGGATTCTGTCGCTGATGCGGTACTTCAGGGTATGGAACTTTTTATTCCTTCCTCTGTGGTGCCCATTGGAGGCAAATCTCAGCCATGGTTTGGTCGCTCCTGTAAAATAGCATAATGCTATAAGCACGAGTGCTACCAAGCCTGGGCTGACGCATCAGCGTCCCGGGATGTAAACACCAGCGCTCTAAAAAAGAAGTATAATTCCACCTCTAGGTCCTTCAAAAGAGTCATTGCCAAGGCAAAGTCAGAGCACATAGGCAGAATTGGCGAGAAACTAGTTCGCCTTCTTTCCGAAACCCGTGCATTCTGGTCTATCGCCAAGGCTGTCCAGGGGAATTTCTGTCAGCCATCTTTTCCATCTCTGCACAGGGAGGGCGACTCACTGGCCCATACCGCAAAGGAGAAAGCCGATCTTTTAGGCTCTTTCTTTGCGTCCAACTCGACTCTCGATGACGGTGGGAGTACGCCGCCGACCATCCCGCGGTGTGAGTGCTCCATGCCGGAAGTGCAGTTCGACGTGTGCTCCAGAGTTGGCACCGGTTTTAACGCGTCTTTTCCGGTACTCCTACTCCCTAGGCGTAGTCCCAAAATCATGGAAGACGGCTCGTCCACCCGATCCCTAAAAAAGGCGACCGCTCAGACCCGTCCAACTACCGGTCTATCTCCATCACCTCCTTGTTCTCCAAAACAATGGAGTCCATTGTAAACTGCCAGCTCATGAGGTACCTTGAGGATCACCAGCTGATTAGTGACCGCCAATACGGTTTTCGCCGTGGTCGGTCAGCTGGTGATCTTCTGGTCTACCTAGCTCACAGATGGGCGGAGGCAGTAGAGTCCAAGGGGGAGGCATTAGCCGTTAGTTTGGACATTGCGAAGGCCTTCGATCGGGTTTGGCACAAAGCGCTTCTTTCGAAGCTCCCTTCCTATGGGCTTCCCGAGAAATTGTGCGATTGGATCACCAGCTTTCTTGCAGATCGGAGCATCAAGGTCGTTGTAGACGGTGCAAGGTCCGATTGCAAGCCTATTAATGCTGGTGTTCCACAAGGCTGCGTGCTATCGCCAACGCTGTTTCTTCTGCATATCAATGATATGTTGCAAACCCGTAACATTCATTGCTATGCAGATGACAGCACTGGTGATGCTCTTTACACCGGCCGAGCCAATATTTCTCGGGAAAACGTCTTCGAGTGCCGGGACAAACTTGTGTCTGAAGTCGAGTCTTTGCTGAACAGAGTCTCGGATTGGGGGCGACTAAATCTAGTCCAGTTTAACCCCCAGAAGACACAAGTTTGCGCGTTAACCGCTAAAAAGAATCCCTTTGTCGTATCTCCTCAGTTTCAAGGCACTCCCCTTGTTGCCTCAGCCAGTATCGAAATCTTCGGCGCCGACATATCGAGTGACGTGCAGTTTCGTGGTCACTTGGAAGAGGAGGCCAAATTGGCCTCTAAAAAAGCTTGGCGTGCTCAGCAGAGCGGGACAGTATTTCATGCCGGCACACCGCCTGAAACTTTACAAGGCGCAGGTTCGGCCGCGCATGGAATACTGTTCCCATCTCTGGGCTGGGGCTCTCCAGTACCAGCTCCTTCCACTTGACCGCATCCAGCGCAGAGCGGCTCGAATCGTCGACGACCGAGTGATTCACTGGCACTGCAAAGAGATGTTGCATCTCTTTTAATTTTCTTTCGCATATACATGGAGAGTGCTCTGAAGAATTGTTTGGATTAATCCCAGTCGCCAAATTTCGTGAACGCACTACGCGGCAAACGTCCCGATACCATCCACACCATCTGGATGCTTGGCGGTCCACCACTGTACGTTTCAAGAGGAGTTTTCTTCCGCATACAACCTCTGTGGAATAGTTTACCACCAGCGATTTTTCCGGACCGATACGACCTGGGGACCTTCAAAAAAAGAGCGTACTCCTTTCTAAAGGGCCGGCAACGCACCTGCAAATCCCCTGGTGTTGCGGATGATCATGGGCGGCGGTAGTAACTTAACATCAGGTGACCCTATTCTATAAAAAAAATTGCTCTGTATGTCCATTGTTTATAATAATATTTAAAAATCTTGAAATCCATGTTATCAATATATCAATATAACACACTTAACATGTTCACTTAACTGCATACTAAATAATATGATAAATATATATTAACTAATTATTATAAAACTAAATATTAAAATATTAATTTTTGTTAATATTATATTATTTAATTTGAATAATTAAAATGAACATTTATATTAAAACTTTTTCAAACTCAATAATGGTCTGATGCACACCTGATGCTGTTGTATGTGTAAATATGTTGTTTTCAAGAATCTATTTTCTAAAGTTTAAAATCATGTTTATCCAAGATTGATTAAATAAATTTAAAAGTAGAGTTTTCAGCCATTGAGTTATAATGTACTACGTACTAGAGAAGCTATTCCAAACAAAAATTGTGCGCTACTCTATGTCTTCGCGCATGCGCGGGAATAGTAGAGTCGCGCATGCGCAGTTGGTATAAACGCGCATTGCGCCTGCGCGGTCAGTTTTTGTTATTATAGATTACGTAAGTAGAATGGTCAGTATGTAATAATTGTTTATTTAGATTGAATTGTTAATTATATCGAGTATAATTTTTTAAATTGTTTTTTATTTTGTATATGTGCTAATTTAATATAATATTACATATGTCAGAATTACATTTAGGGTATTTTATTTAATTTTTAATTGGTAAATATGTGAATTAAAAATTTTTTTATATATTTTTTTTTTACTTTTATTTACAAATATATTTATTTATATAAAATAAAAGCAAATTAAGTATTTTGCAAACTTTGCCGGTTTCAAATGCTTAATTTGCTCGGTCATATAACTAGTATGACTCGCGCGCCGAGGATTCCGCCCCTCTTAAGTCCCGTAAATATCCTGAATATTACAAAAACATCGTTCGTCGTCTAATTCACAAAAATTCCAGCAATGTTATATAATAATATAATTACATTATCACATGGTACTGCAGATTTCTTTAAATATACTCTTCCTGTTTTTGTGGTATATGTGTCGTTTTCTTTGAAATACACGAAACATATGCATGAATAATCTGACGGTAACCACGTTTCTTCTGAACAAATTTTATCCATGATTCTCTTGTGTCATGACACGGCCGACGAAACCTTTAAATCCAAATAAAAAAAATATTAATTTTAATGCATTAACATTTCCTACCGTGAATATATATATATATATATATATATATATATATATATATATATATATATATAATCTGACGGTAACCACGTTTCTTCTGAACAAATTTTATCCATGATTCTCTTGTGTCATGACACGGCCGACGAAACCTTTAAATCCAAATAAAAAAAATATTAATTTTAATGCATTAACATTTCCTACCGTGAATATATATATATATATATATATAATATATTCTATATATATCTATATCTATATATATAATATATATATATATATATATATAGATATATATATATATATATATATATATATATATATATATATATATATATTCACGGTAGGAAATGTTAATGCATTAAAATTAATATTTTTTTTATTTGGATTTAAAGGTTTCGTCGGCCGTGTCATGACACAAGAGAATCATGGATAAAATTTATTCAGAAGAAACGTGGTTACCGTCAGATTATTCATGCATATGTTTCGTGTATTTCAAAGAAAACGACACATATACCACAAAAACAGGAAGAGTATATTTAAAGAAATCTGCAGTACCATGTGATAATGTAATTATATTATTATATAAAATTGCCGGAATTTTTGTGATATTTTGTGATTAGACGACGAACGATGTTTTTGTAATATTCAGTATATTTACGGGACTTAAGAGGGGCGGAATCCTCGGGGCACGAGTCATACTAGTTATATGACCGAGCAAATTAAGCATTTGTGCAAACCGTGCAAATGGTTTGCACAAATGCTTAATTTGCTTTTATTTTAATATAAATAAATATATTTGTAAATAAAAGTAATACTAATAAATGATAATGTTGATGATTTTTGATATTAAATGTATATTTTTATATTTCACATATTTACCTATTAAAATATTAAATAAAATACCCTTAAAATGTAATTCTGACATAATATTATGTAATATTATATTAAATTAGCACATATACGAAATAAAAAACAATTTAAAAAATTATACTCGATATAATTAACAATTCAATCTAAATAAACAATTATTACATACTGACCATTCTACTTACGTTAATCTATAATAACAAATATATATATATATTACTGTCCATAATTATTTAACATTATACGTCGATAAAGTCAAGTCTTTGCATAAAAATGTTTTACTCTTTGACATTCACGTTTATATTACAGTTGATAAAATATAATTAAATTAAGCGTATTTTAAAGATAATATATTGAACTTACTGGTGAAAAGTCACTACTTGACTTTTACTTATGTTTCTCGAGTTGTTTGAACAATATCTCAATGCACACGAAGGCATATTATTTTAAAAACAATTCTTCACTCAAACGTCTCACGTTGCGGCAACCGCTTGACACAGACTAAGTGAGTTGGACTGCGTGCGCTCTAACGCGTGTTACAAACATTCGAGTTGAGCCGTCTTCTCTAGTACGTAGTACATTATAACTCTATGTTTTCAGCATCGTTTCTAAATTAGCAGAAAAACAATTGAAAAAATTGGCGGGGATGTGTTTTTTACTTTTTCTTTTTTTTAATATCCTATATGAATTTATATTAAAACCTACCAGATACATACAGTACAACCAAAGAGATTTTTTTTAAATTTTACACAAATAAAACACTAAGAAACATTTTCCCTGACTATTATGATTATTATTGGTTATTATTTATAACTTTTTGCTTTTGAAGACTATCAATTTGAATGTCTATTATTATATTGATTCTCCAAATCTTTCCAAACAAAAAACCACAGTGACTATAGTGCAGTCACTCTAGTGTTTTGATTTGAAGGTTTTGGAGCATACAGTAAACATAGGTAAGAGAGTGTGTACATATAGGTAAGCAGAAAGTGGCCCTACTACTGTAAGCTGTTGAAAGTAGTATATAATTCTAAACTGACCATTTGGATGCTACATTACATAATCTATGCAACTTTCATATAAATAATACATTTGTTATATTCTAGATCACACAGCATGTGTGTGGAGCGTTGAATGGGGAAAGTGTCTGCTGCAATACACAGGTCATTCGGGATCTGTCAACTCAATCCGTTTTCATCCAACAAGGGACATAGCTCTCACCAGCAGTGGTGATAACACTGCACATGTTTGGCAGGCTGCTGTTAACTGGGATCTACCGGTACTAAAACTCTTAGAATATAAGCTAACACAATTGTAATAATTTTAGGATTCATCTAGATATGAACTAAATAGTATAGGTACTACAACTTTCACTTTACACATCGCTCGTAAATTGTAAGATGATCCATTAGCCCTTCTTGTCTTGTCTCAGGAATCAGCAAAGGGGTAGCCCCTTTGTTGGCTGTTACAACACCTACAAGACGAGAAGGGTTAATTTTTTTTTTATAGAATAAGGGTGACAAGCGAGCACACAGTCCACCTGATGGTAAGTGGATGCTGTGGCCCATAGACATCTACATTTATCCTCTATTTAGAATCCAAACGCAGATGCGTTGTCACCCTTGAGGACTAAGATAGAATGCCTCGTTTCCAGTAAAGAAGGGTCTCCGGATTTATACACCCACCATACAAAACACAGCAGTATTAAGCTGCTATTTTACGCTTGTATTCAGTGAGGTGTCCCCCAAACCGGCCGGTCACCGTGGGGGAAACCGATCACCACCCTCCAACAAATTTGTCAACTAAATCAAATACAAAAAAAGGGATACAAAAACGAAGTAGTCTATACCTATGTACACTAAACTCACGAACCTTGAGAACACCGGAAAGTTTGCAAGAGCTAGAGTTAGCTATTAAAAACATCAAGTGGGACATTTTAGGCATAATCGAGATGCGAAGATTAGGGGAAGGAATAGAAGAGAGAAGCCACTTCATTATGTACCATAAAGGCGAAGTCGCTGGACAAAGAGGAGTAGGATTTTTAATAAAGCTAAACCTCAAAAACCAGATCATTGCGTTCGAAGGGGTAACAGATAGAATAACGGCAATTCATATAAACTTACCATAACACCCAAAAAAATGGACAGTCATCGCAAGTATACTCGCCGACAGAACAAACAACAAAAACAGACATAGATAATTTCTACGACAAACTTAGCGAAATTATTGAAAAATATTCGGATAACAATATAGTACTCATGGGCGACTTCAACGCTCAAGTCGGCGCCCGATTAGCTGGGGAGGAACACATAATAGGGAAATATGGAAGTGGCAAAAGAAGCAAAAACGGAGAATTGGTAGAATTGGTAGCTTGAGAAAAACTTAACACTTCTAAATTCCATGTTCCGCAAATAACCCAAACATTAATAGACTTGGATGTCTCCAGATGGAAAGACTAGAAACAAAATCGACTACATAATAACCAACAAAGTTAGGTCGTTTAGTGATACGGGAATAATAAATAATCTAAACTTCAATACTAACCACCGTATGGTACGCAGCTGCCTCAATGAAAGTGGTACAAAAAAACCTAGACCAAAAGTTACTTAAATGAACTACTTACAAACAATTAATAGAAAGAGAAATCTAAACGACACCACAGAAGATCTAATGGAAGTAGTTGCTGCAGATATAGACCTTAACGAAAAATATAAAAAAATAGAAAACATGCTCAAAGAACAGGCAAGTATACATATAAAGGAGATTCAAAAATCCTATTTAAGTGAAAAAAATTTTAAAACTAATTAAAGACAGAAGAAATTTAATTAAAAAAAAGGATATCTAATCTTAGCAAACAGATTCGTGAAAATATGAGGATTGACAGGAAAAATAGAAGAATCAAAACCCTAGAGAATCACATTAGCAAAACAGGAGGCATAATAAAAGCGCTTAAGGAACTTCGAGAACAGGGAAAAGAATGGATACTGAAATTAAGAGAAAAACACTGCCAAATATTTCTCGCAAAAAAATTCAAAACATAGCGACAAACTATTTATTTTCGTTTTCGTTTACTGTACAAAGAACATAGTTCAATTCATCGAAAAATACATTGGCCAGATAAAGAATACAATAATATACAAAACCATAGGATCAAGGACGTAGAAGTTATACCAGAAATATTAGTAAAGGAAGTAGAAAAATCTATAAATAGTCAGAAGTTTGAAAAAGCCCCTGGTCCAGACAGAATCACAAACGGATATATGAGAGGGACAATTAAAGAACTAAGCCCAATATTAACAAACGTCTTCAATGAGACTCTACAAACTGGCTGCATTCCGAGTCATTGGGCAGAATCACATATAATACTTTTACATAAAAAGGGTCCAAAAGACAATATAGGAAACTATAGACCCATTTCTCTCATCTCAAATGTATATAAAGTTTTCGCTAAAGTGATTCTAGACAGAATATCACTCACACTCGACGAAAATCAACCCGTGGAACAGGCAGGGTTCAGGAAAGACTTTAGTACAATCGATCATATACATACAGTCAAACAGCTCATACAGAAATACAATGAATACAATAAAACCATTTACCTGGCCTTTATAGATTATGCCAAAGCTTTCGATAGCCTTAAACACGAGTCTGTATGGCAGAGTTTAAAAGAACAGGGGATCCAAACTGCCTATGTTAATATCATCAAAAATATTTACAGTGAAAGTAAAGCCAGAATCAGGCTAGAATCAACAGGAGACGTTTTCCCAATCGATAGAGGCGTCAGGCAAGGTGACCCACTCTCACCAAAGCTGTTCACAGCAGTGCTTGAGCAAATGTTTAGAAAATTGGAATGGGCTCATTTGGGACTAAACATAAACGGAACACGATTGAGTCATCTAAGATTTGCAGACGATCTGGTTATAATGGAAGAGGACCCACTTAAACTAAAGTCCATGATACAAGCCCTAGTAGACAGAAGTAGAGAAGTAGGTCTAGAAATTAACATAATCAAGACTAAAATGATGACCAACTCAATACCTATAGACATAACCATCAATGGACAGAAACTTGAATATGTAGAGGAATATGTGTACCTAGGCCAGATAACATCGCCAAATGACCAAATGTCCAAATAAATAGACAAAAGAATTGCGACTGGGTGGAAGAAGTATTGGGCCTTGAAAGAAATCATGAAAAGCAAGGAACTGGGTATGAAGATTTAGAAAAAGATTTTCGATACCTGCATCCTACCCTGCATTACATATGGCTGCGAAACCTGGGCTTTAACAAAACACCAAAGGGACAAACTAGTAAGATGTCAGAGAAGCATGGAAAGGAGCATGTTAGGATTGAAACTAACGGACAAAGTGAGTAGTATAGACATTAGGCGCAAAACGAAATTAACAGATATACTGTCACGTATTGATCAACTTAAATGGAGATGGACTAGACATATGCTTCGCTGCAAATAGGAAAAGTGGAGCAAACAGGTGACAGTTTGGTACCCAAGGGACAGCACTAGGAGCCGAGGTCGTAAAGCAAGAAGATGGGAGGATGATTTAAAATTGACCTTAGGACCCCTATGGATAAGAGTGGCGGCAGACAGAAAACAGTGGAAAGAGTTGGAGGAGGCCTTTGTCAAAAGACACACCGAAATAAGAGACATTTTGTAATATAAGTGTAGTTTTAGTTTATATAATGCTGTACTTTCTTTTTAAATTCTTTTTCTAGTTTAGCTAAACTTTAACTTAGTGTATTAATATAAAATATTTCGTAAAATAAAGGCTTTATTTATATGTGGGGTATCTATATAGTTTTCTCATCTGGTTGGGTTCTATAAATATATAATTATAAATTAAAATGAAAAGATAAATATACGTAAATATCAATAAAATAAAATAAATACAAAAATACATAAATAAATAAAAGCCCAACAAGATGGAAGCCCTCGGCAGGGGAGACCAAACGGCCTAGGGTTATGAGGAAAAGGAAAGAAACCGGCGGACGATCCGGGCGGTATCGAGGAGCACCGCCTTCTGCATTTGAACCTGGCCATTAAAAAAATATTTCGGAAAATAAAGGCTTTATTATTATTATTATTATTCAGTGAGCGGGTGGTCCTTCCCCAGTCGAGCCGACCCATTCGTACTACAACTACCACATGCAAAATGTAATTCAATTTGTAAGATAATCCATACGCCCTTCTCGTCTTGTGGGTGTCGTAAGAATCAACAAAGGGACTACCTCTATATATAAAGGACCTTTCACATAACATGTAAATTGTAAGAGAATCCGTTAGCCCTTCTCGTCTTGTAGATGTCGTAATAGCCAACAAAGGGAATACCTCAAGGACCTTTCACACAACATGTAAGTTGTAAGAGTCTTTAGCCCTTCTCGTCTTGTGAATGTTGTTAAAGTCAACGAAGGAAATGCCTAAAAGATCTTTAAATAACTCATATATCCCATAGTCGACACGACACAAATATAAATTACTGTTTTAACTATTTTTTTTTATAGAATAAGGTGACAAACGAGCACACGGTCCACCTGATGGTGAGTGGTTGCTGCAGCCCATAGGCATCTACATCTACCCTCGATTAAGAATCAAAATGCAGATGCGTTGTCACCCGCGAGGACTAAGATGGAATGCCTCGTTTCCAGTAAAAAGGGTTTCCGGTTATTATGTAGTATCTGGGCAATCGCGCCTTGAAAATTTTTCACAAATTCGACATGATATTTGAAAAAAAAAAATATAATTTTCTCTGGAATGACACCTATTTAAAAATAAAACTGAGGGTAAAACGTTAAAGTCAAAGTTATTTTTTTGTAGTTAGATAACTACAAAATTACACCGCTCGGGGTAAGATAGAATGCCATTTTCTAGTAAAGAGGGTCTCTGATTCTCTACACTCACAATATGAAACAGCATAAGATGTGTGAAAATTCACCTGCCAAGGTATTGGCGTAAATAGAATGAAGATGTGATTTTCGTATATTGTTATCCATATTTTATTTTCTAGCGAGGACAGTCTTCAGAAGAGGAGCTAGAAGGCGGGGGTGAGGAGAGTCTAGGCGAAGGTGGTGATCGACCAGAGGTGCTACGAACCCCCCTGACTGAACTCACTGGACATATAGGTGTGGTGGTGGCGGCCGATTGGCTGACTGGCGGTGACCACGTGATCACAGCCTCATGGGACAGAACGGCCAATTTGTATGATGTTGAAACTGGAGACTGCTTACAAATTCTCACAGGTGAGAGTACACAAATTATTTCTCTATCAATGTTACTTTCCATTATACACTACATTTTCACTGACATTTAATGATATTTTAAATTACCATAGATTGTTCTTTCTCCACCTTCAGGCAATCATTTTGCTTGTTATCATATATTTTTTTTCTTTTTTGAATTGAGGTACCTAATCAAATTTAAAAATTTATTTTGAATAGCGTATTTAAGTCCGACATTGACTCACATAGCCAACGGATCAGTAGGCTGAAGATACAGTGGGCTGGCTATATATTTATAGTATATATATATATATATATATATATATATATATATATATATATATATATATATATATATATATATATATATATATATATATATATATATATATATATATATATACAACATGTAACATAATTAACGCACTTTGAGAAAGTAGTTTGTTCAGATTCGTTTACTGAATCGATTCCTGTCATTTTTAATATAGGTAATTTTTATCCCAAAAATAATTAAAACTACGTAAATTACAGTCACACTAAATCTGTACAGTCAAAACAAACTGAAATGGACCGTAACTTAAGGCAATAAGACTTTTAAGAGTGCAGTTTTATTTGTATTATTACTACTTCTGTCATTCAATAAAAATAAAGAAAAATGAACTTTATTTCAAGCACGTTAAAGTCTTTGCGTTCGTGGATGTGTACTGTGACCACAACATTCTTCCGGAATTAGGATAACTAATTTGATAAATAATCAGTGCATAAAAATGTTTAACTAAAAATTCAGTGTATGTATTATGATTATAACATAATATACTAATTGGGGTGTCTGAGGGTGTGCGTTAATTACGTTACTTAATATATATATATATATATATATATATATATATATATATATATATATATATATATATATATATATATATATATATATATATTTTATAATAAGGTTAACAAACAAGCATACAGCGCATCTGATGGTAAGAGACATCTTATCCTCGATTAAGAACCAAAATGCAAATTTGTTGTCACCCCTGAGGACTTAGACGAGAAATGCCTCGTCTTCAGTAAATAAGTGATTTTCTACACTCACCATACGAAGACACAGCAGCATTCAGCTGCTATTTTGTAGGAGCAGGATCGTTCCCCGATCAAGCCAACCCATTCGTGCGATAATCATAATATAGCTGCAGTATGATTCTACCACATTGTAATTATGTCCTATAAAAAGTATAAAGGTATTCTTTATAATGGTTATATAATTATCAATTTCTGGGCCGCATTATTGCCTATGGGAAATTTTATTTCTAAAGTAGGTAATTAAATGGCTTTAAAAACAAACTGCAAAATGTAGGAAGGCCAGTTTTTGCACTGTGGCTTGGTATTTCCTTTAGCGAACGAAGCTCCATATAACAGTGCCGAACTAGATTATAATTATGTGACTGTCAGTATAAATTACTTTATTACAGCATATAATAATGTCCTCCAGATCGAATTTCAGCCACGGCGGCCTGCCTCAACGGAGGCTAGCCATCGGTGCAGGACAGGATTATAGTGCCCAAGTGTATGCGCTAGCACAGGTGCACTCTCTATTCCCTCACTCTCATAATCCGATGGGACGGTAAACCGACACGACCGGAGAGGGGTCAAACGCAGGACCAACGGCTTTACGTGATTTCCGACGCACGGGGGTGAGATACCGCCCACTTCCTGACTCCGGGCAAATACTGAGAATTTCTTGACGGAAAACTCAATAATTAATTATTTGGCCCGACACAGGATTCGAACCCAGGACGTCATGATCAGCAGTCGTACTACTACAACCAATAGACCAACGAGGCAGTCTGTGCAATTACAGCATATAAAGGTCCCATGAAGGTTAAAGAACAGGAGAACGATCGCCGTAAAAAATAGTGTCCCAGAAATATAGACACCATCAGTGAGGCGCTGTGATCACTAAGTTCGGTCAATAAAAGTCATTTTCATTCTATTTTTCCGATCAGATGCTAAACCACTTGCACATCCACGCACAATAAAATATTTTTCCATTTTTAATGTTTCTTTTTGTCAAAAATTACAAAATTACGGAGCATGAAAATTTTCTACGAAAAAATTAAATGAAAATTTGTACATTATTCAACTAACTTCATCTACTTGTACTCATAAACAGCTAACTTCGCAGTCACTACTCACCGACGTCAGCGCCGCTATAAATTCTACAATTTTCAAGAACAGGCGGGCTATGCTTTAGTACGTAGTGATCGTTCTCCTGTTCTCTAACCTTCATGAAAGGTCCACTGAATATAGGCCTTTAGATTTCCTCATCGGGGGATTTTGTAATAGATGCCATACTTGGCAGAAGAGCAACTGCAGTATTTTTAATGATTGTTATATATTGAGTTGTTATCAGGAAGAAGCAGCTGCTCAACTCCTGTTTCAGTTTCCCTCCGTCGCTTCTTACAACACCTACAAGACGATATGGTTTTTTTTTGTTTTTATAGGAAAAGGGTGACAAGCGAGCACACAATCCACCTGATGGTAAGTGGTTGCTGTGGCCCATAGACATCTACATCCACCCTCGTTTGCGAATCAAAATGAAGATGAGTCGTCAGCCCTGAGGACCAAGATGGAATGCTCCGTTTCCAGTAAAAAGGGTCTCCGGTTGTCTACACTCACCATACGAAACACATCAGCATCAAGCTACTATTTTACGCTGGTATTCTGTGAGAGCGTGGTCCTTCCCCGGTCGAGCCGACCCATTCGTGCTACAACTATACAATTAATATAGCTGCAGCATGGCTCTACCGCGTAAAAAATGGATATACTTACGCCACCACTACATGACTATAATTATATTATTAGCGTGTAATTACCTGATTCTACACTCCATTTTATCCTGTCGATGTGTAGATGGGAACGCTTAAGGAAATGCTCTGAAAATCCTATTACTTCAACTCGTATTTAACGTAAAATACACTAATACGGATACATATTGGTAATACGTACGAATACCAACAGCGTCAAAGAGACGTAATATCTACTATTCGCCGTTATCGGCAGTATATGACATTAATTTTAATTTGGAATTAATTAGAAAACGTCCCGCTGGGTTTCTTGCTGGTTCTTCCCAGGATAGAGGTATTCTTTGCGAACAAGTGGTAAATGAAAAAAAGTGACTTTCAATTAGTATTATTTATAATCCATATTGAATAAAAAAAGTTTCTGTTTCTGTTTTTGTTTCAAATGGTTATAAGACGAAAAGTAAGTTTTGAAGCCGTAATGCAATAAAGAATAATTAAAAAAAATTGTGGAATATATTATTACCATTTTAAGCCATGTAGTAGTGTTTCGATAATAGTAAATCCTCCTCATAACGGGGGGGCCTATAACCAACTGTGAAACTGTTTCGATGAGGAGGAGTGATAGACCATGAAAGATGAACATAAAATTTTTCATTTCTATTACTGTAACTTGTTGATTTTATTTGAAATTTTTAAAAACACGGCGCGCGTTGGAATAGAATAAGTTCTATTCCATATACATTACAAAAATATGTATTGAAAGTCATCTATGCTTTTACAATAGTTCGGAAATAATCTTTGTTCTGGAGAAAACCACTTCCTAAAGAACACAATGTAAAAAACGCAACAGAAATTTTCTTAAAACTTTGACAATATAATATGTTGCATAATTAAATTTTATAACATTAGAAATTAATCAATCAAAAAGCTTGAAAAATACGGTATAAGAGGTAAAGCATCTGACTGAATACAGAGTTAAATCGCAAGCAACGTACGGATATCGATTAAACAATAAACAACATGAAAGTTACTTTTAAATCGGAATAAATAAATAATAATTGCGGTACGCCACAGGGATCGGTTCCTGCTCCATTATTCTTCTTGCTTTACATAAACGACCTACCGACGGCAAATGTTCAGGAGTGCGAATTATTCGCAGATTATACAACACTTATTACGAGGGTGGATTGAAAAGTACTCGGCCTAACCAAGAAAATAAACACATACTAAATCAGTTATATTTTTATTTTTCTACATAATCACCATCAAGTTCAATACACTTTTGTCACCTCCCCTTCCAAGCATTTAGACCGTTGAAAAAAAATGATTCTTCCTTAGAGTCAAAATATGCGTCTACAGCTGCTTTGACCTCGTCGTTTGTCGAAAATCTTTGACCTCCCAAGTGCTTTTTTAGGTTAGGGAACAGAAAGAAGTCTGATGGTGCCAGATCAGGTGAATACGGCGGATGCGGTAACAGTTCAAAGCCACAGTTGTGAATTTCAGCCATTGACTGTACTGACGTGTGAACACGGGCGTTATCTTGATGAAACAGGACTTTTCTTCTGAGCATTCCTCGACGTTTTTCTTTTATTTCCTCTCGTAAATGATGTAGTAAGGTGCAGTAGTAATCAGAGTTTATAGTCTGACCCCTTTCAAGATAATCAATCATAATCACACCTTTCGAGTCCCAGAATACTGAAGCCATCACCTTATTTGCCGACAAAATCGACTTAGCCTTTTTAGGGGGTGGTGAACCAGGTCTTCTCCACTGTTTGTTGTTTTGTTTCCGGTGTACAGTAATGAACCCATGTTTTGTCCATAGTAACAAAACGATTCAAAAAATCATCTGCATCGGCTTCAAATAACTCCAAACAGTCGCGTGAAATAGTCAATCGCGTCCTTTTTTGTTCAACTGAAAGCAGTCGCGGAACCCACCTCGCAGACACCTTGTGGAAACCGAACTCGTTGACAATGATGTTTTCAGTTCGTTCATAAGAGATGCCTATAATCTCGGCTATCTCTCTAATTTTTAATCTGCGGTCTCCCATTATTAAATCAAGTACTTTTTTTAATATTTTCGTCAGTAGTTGACGTCGAAGGCCTTCCAGAGCGGGGTTCATCTTTCACACTCTCTCTACCACGCTTAAATTCTGCTATCCATTTTTTGACGGATGAATATGACAGAACACAATCGGCTAATGTACTGACCATGTCATCATGGATGGCTTTTGATGATAGCCCCTTCTTATGGAGGTACTTAATGACGGCACGCTGCTCGATTTGCTCCATTCGCGGAAATTATGTCCGATTACTTTGTTAATAAATTTATAAAATCACAACTAATTATCGCACACGTTTCGAACTTCACACAATGAACTAGTCTGAACTGAACTAAATAATGTGGGTAGATTTGATTTTTAGAATTGAATGGATCTGTGTTAGGCCGAGTACTTTTCAATCCACCCTCGTATAAAATGTAAAAATTAAAGTGAAATACTATTGTGAAATACATTAGCCATGAAACTGTTTAAAAATTCATTAAAATGGATGGAAAGTAACAATCTAAAAATAAATGTTGATAAAACTAAAATAAATAAATTTGAACGATGTAATTATACCTATAGCAATAATAATAATAGTATTATAAAAGAAATTCAACAAGTAAATTCAACCAATTTTTTAGTCATAATTCTAGAAAAAATTTAAATTGGAGAGATAATATTATAAAATTAATAAATAAACTAGACAAATTCGCTTTTGCTTTGCGACTTTTAAGACGTTAAGCTTCTCAGGAAATAGCCGTTATTACCTACCATGGATATGTATCATTCCTCGTACCTCCTACGATATGGATTGATTGTTTGGGGAAATTCCGTTTATGTGGACACAGCATTTAAAATCCAAAAAAAAAATGTATAGTGTATAATTTTATGAAAACTATATGATAACTAACTATTATTCAATAAACTAAAAATTCTTCCGTTGCCTTGTCTGTACATACTAGAAATGTCTTTTTGTTAAAAAGCATCCAAACATATTTCCATCACACGTTGAAATGTTGGGAAAAAAGACAGCTAAATTATAGGTAAATTATATACAGAATGTCCCAGAAGTCTACGTCAAGCCGAAACTTTCTGATAGGCGAGGCCATACTAGTTACCAGAAAAATATTTAAAAACATCTATTTTATTATTGCGGCGCATTATAGCCGCTTAGTTCGAGAACACCTTGAAGAAAAAAATTGGGGAAAAGTAAATATTTATAGCAACAGGAATGAAAAAAACTGTCTCATGGTGTACATTTGATCGAAAAAAAATTACTATAATTTCTGAAATACATGACTTAGATTTTTCTGGTAACTAGTATGGCCTCGCCTATCAGAAAATTTCGGCTTGACGTCGACTTCTGGGACAACCAATATACCACAACAAAGGCTTAATATGAATAACAAAAGTTGTTTTTGTATGGCAATTAAAATATTTAACAAGCTACCAGAAAATATAAAACTTTTAAAAATTAACAAATTTAAAAGAACTTTAACTCATTGGTTCCTTTACCATTCTTTACTCCGTAAAAGATTTTGTGACATAAAATTGATTAGGTAGTAGGTACTAAAGTGACAATATACATATACTATATGTATATGTATATTGATATTGATTCAATTAAATTTTTTCCTAAATCTACGAATTATTAATAACTTTGCTTTGAACAAGGTACTAATTTCAAATGTATGCAGTTACTATTCGGTATAATTGAAGCTTTACTATTAAGTTATATTTGGAGGTCGGATTTTCGGATGCATATTTACCTAAAGTTCAGTATTGGTTATTATGGAAAGTACTTTTTTATCGATAAAATCCGCTATTTCGGGAAATTTTAATTGACGTATTTACTCCGTGAGACGTAATAAACCCAGTTTTACACAAATGACAGTTGCCATGTTACAACATAATATTGTTGCTTTTCCCTACTTTTATTGTCAGTGGGTTTTGAGGAAGCCTCAGGGAATGTAAGCATTTCGTAAAAGTGCGAGTGAGACGGTAAATTATACCTGCTTGTGCGCAAGTTTTAAGTTTTTAGTTTATTCATATTAGCTATGTAAGAGGTTCATTTCATGACTACTTGTAAGGAAAACAACACAATGACTTGAGCGACATTAATTCTTGTATGACAATTATTTATGTATATTGCCCAAAGTGCAAAGAATAATTAAATTTATATTCATTTATATTTTCTTATTTACCACACCACCATTTCTCTTACATACACACACACATACTCGAATGGGAAATAAAAATCAACATTAAGTAAATATACATCTGATTAGTAATGCAAACTCGGAATCCCGGGATTTAATTTTTAATAAAAATATCCTAAGAAGCCGCTTCAATAAATTGTCAGCCAAAAATAACTATGCAACTGATTATCCGAACTGTAGTTATATTTCACAATTTTTTAATTATATGCTGTAATTATTGTTATTGGATTGACGTAATATTATTATATTGACATCTTACCGCTGACATTATAAAAAACTAAGAATATAATATAATTGTGCTGTTTCTACGCCGATTCCGGTAAGACATGCAAACGATCCTAAAAGTTACTAATTACCCGCAACATCTTCATGTAACGCGGATGTCTTTGAAATACAATAAATAAATAAACAGCATTGTAGTTCATCTCATTCCCAGCGGTTATTATCAATCATGTGTACTCCTTAGTGGTACAATAAGCCCTTATTGAACAGTTTTTGCTTAATAGCAATTTTAAACTTTTATAGATAGGTACTGCATATTTTCTAGGCTTTGTCGTAAAAGCATGTACATTGCCACATGAAGGAATTACTGAGTCTGTTGGCTGTTTTGTTAAGGGATTGATAAAAAAATTTTTGTGAAAATGTGTCGACTTGAGGAACAAAGGTTGCGATCATATTTATTACTAATATAATGCTTTCTCGCATTGCTTCAGGTCATGATCATGAATTAACGCATGCTTCCGCACATCACAGCTCCCGACTTGTAGTGACTGCTTCGAGAGATACCACTTTCCGCCTTTGGGACTTCCGTGAGCCGATTCATTCTGTCTCAGTGTTCCAGGGACATACCGAGTACGTATATCTTTCAACCTTAAAATGTAATATTACACACAATAGATTACTTTATGATCGTCCAGGATAATTGAATCAAATAGCAGTTTTGTGGGATTTTTTTATAAAAGTACGTGCAGGCGTATGATGCTTTTCAATCTCCATTAAATTGTCGACACCGGGATTCGAAACCTGGATCGTTAACACTGCCCATACTGACAAATATAGACATATTCCAAGTTCCTTTTGCCGTGTCATGCTTGTGATCACTCATCGTATCACTCTCGTAATCACAAAGCCAGATGCTACGTTCTAGACATACTAAGCCTGAGTTTTTATTTGGCGGGGCTAAGACGTGCGAATCGTGTTTTGTGTTATACCTTGAGTGAGGCCAATATTCAGCAGGATGCCTTGTATTGTTTCTTTAACATAAAATATATAACCCATTTTTAATAATTACATTAAATATGGTTAGGTTTTATTGTAAAAAAATGTTATAATGGTTACGACTGCCAGTTGCGCGTTTCTCACCACTCGAAGATAAGGTTCAATCGCCTCTGTCAAGTTCATTAAATGTTTAGGCATAAAAATAGACAACGCTCAAACTATTGATGTAAGCATAACGCAACCGTATGTTCACGTTCATAAAGCGTCTTCTCCTTTGGACAAATTGTTAATCTCAAGTGGTCTAGTACCTTCCCATTGGAAAAGTGGAATGACTCGGATTGATCTATATGGGCCGATCCTCATTATAATGCCGTTCACAGTTCGTTGTCGGTGCGATCTCGGTCTGATAAAATATTATCAAGTAAAAAATATATGTGTGCATTCATACTATCCGTAACATTCAAGTTTCACTTGAATCCCATTCCAATAATATATCAGACCGAGATCGGACCGAGAAGGAACTGCGAAAGGCAAATAAGGATCGACCCTAATGCTCTACATAGCTTTTATTGGATATAAAAGCGTGCGCTGGCGATCAGAGAATGAATTATTTCGGGATCACTAATGTGAACTCTGCTTCGGGAAGCTACAACAAGCAATCGACTTAAGACTTCTACAATTATTAAGGTGAGGTTCGTAATGAGAAGCTTAGCGATTTTGGACAACGTGATTTTATATTTGTTGAGCGTGTGGTAGAGTACATCCATTTTTCATTCTAATCGGCATTATTACTCAGCTCACACATAACATTATGTACATAAATATGGGTATTGAGAGAGAACGCTCTTATAGCTTTCACTGCTGCACAACATGAGAGAAAGTCGAAAGTCGCTGTGAGCTACTTTCGAGGGTGTTTTGTTTGAAAAAAGAATAGAATACCTAATTTTTATTCAATATAGATCACAAGCAATACTTATTGAAAGTCACTTATCCTTTTACCATCGGTTCGGGAAAAAATTCCCTGCTCTGGGAAGAACCGGTAACAAATAATTTATAAAAATTTACAAGATAGGTACATTTTTTTTACAAATTGAATGATTTATTAGAAACAGCAAAAATCCGTTATATTATAAAACAGTGGAGAATAAAGGTTTTCGAGAGGCAGCTCCATACAGCAAGTGCAGTGTAGGACGAAACAATCTCAAAAAAAAAGATGGAGTAACGATCTGATGAGACATTCACTGAGTATCTTAATAGTAGTTAGTTCAACTCCGTGGATTGTGGCAATTTAGGGCAATATTTATCAGTAGTCCACTCCTGCATGATGTGCTGTAATGTTGGTGACTAGAGATGAACTTTTTTTCGATTTTTCTATTTCAATGAAAATATACTTCTCAAAGTTTTTCAGATGAAATGTCGATCTAAATTTAAAACTACATCATTCCTGGTATTGTTCTCTATTTGTTTGTGAAGCTTCATCACAATCTTTTCAATTTAAATCAACCCGGACAGACACAAAATCTATACAAATTCATGTCATGCATGTAACCCCCTTCGATAAAAGGCAGTTAATTCAATATTTGAGACAAACACTTCAATCTTATTTTTCTTCTTTATTTGTATGTATAGATAATGATGATGATTCTTAAATTTTTCGACTGTTACAGAAGTGTCACATCAGCTGTGTTCACTCGCGAGGATAAAGTAGTGTCAGGGTCCGACGATAGATCTGTTAAGGTATTTATTCAATTTTGTTTACTTGAACATGTAATTGGCAGTATCAATTAGAACAATTAGTTTTTATCAGTTTTATATATTATTTTGACTTATTATAGCGGTTCAATTAGAGCTAATTATATAAAAAAATCATTAGTATTTGAATGTTCCTTTTTACTCGGTAACACAGTTTTCTGCTTACCCTAAAAGGTACAGATACGTTGTTACCTCTGAGGACTAAGGGTAAGCTTGCCCTGCGGTACGGCAAGTTGCGGTCGCGGTTTTAAAACCGGTACGGCGAAATTCTGAATTGACTTGGCGCGCGCACTGCGGCTAAACAGCCGCAAGTTTTATCATTTGTATCTCAGCTTTCGTAACGCAATGTCGAACAACATGGACTACGAAACCAGACTCCGAATTTGCATTTATTTAATATTAACAAGGTAAGAAAACAGAAACGCAAGCAGTATTGCCATTAACCGCAACGAGACCTATGAAGGGTTTTTTCTATGAGATATAATGTTTTTTTGCCTTTTACTACACCTTTTACTACAAAATGAACATATAGACCTTTGACAATTCAAAAAGAATTGTTGGTAACGGAATCCACTACAAAGATACGAGTTGGAGAAAAGCGATATCAGTGGAAGAAGAGCTCCGGTTTTTCCGCCGCGGTGCGCGGGGTTTCACACAAGTTCATAGGATGCAAAAAAACCGTGCGGTGCCGCACCGAAACAAATCTGTGGCAATTCAGATATTTTAGCCGCATGCGGTTGAATAACCGCAATGCGAGCACCACCACTGTGGTTAACACAACACAGACTTGCGGGAGCAAACCGCACCCGTTGTTGCCGCAGTGTGCGCAGACCCTAAGATCGAATGCCTCACAGGCTGTAAATATACTGGTTCTTTATAACCTTCTGCCGCCAAATACCAGTTCAAGGCTGCAGAAATATGTAAGTGGTACCTATACAGACAGACTCCTATTCACATGGAAAAGGTATTCTATCTTTGCTTTCAGGGGTGGCAATGCATTTTCATTCAATTGAGGATAGATGTACATAGGTATCTATGGCCGCAGGATCCACTAACCACTATTTTATAGTCTGCGAAGCATGTCACCTTAATCTTCTGAGGTGACAACGTGAATTGTAGTTGTAGCTGTTCACCAACAGGTTTTCTGATGGCTCGGTGTTTTCTTTAATACTGTAAACCAGTGTTTGACATGCTATTGATCATCTTATTTTCAGGTGTGGGATGTACGTAATATGCGATCAGCGTTGGCGACAATCAGGTCTGATTCATCAGTGAACCGTGTGGGAGTGAGCAGTACTGGGCTGATCGCGATCCCACATGACAACAGACAGGTGCGTCTGTTCGACCTGCAAGGGCAGCGGCTAGCAAGATTGCCCAGATCTAGTCGACAGGTGAGTTTGATAAATGTAACATTGCATCTTAAAAACTAAATTGTGAATACATCTCCACATACACATACTCTCTCGCTCTCACTCTCGCCCTCTCTCTTCCTTACTCACTCACTTACACTCTCTCTCTCTTTCTTTCTTTCTCTCTCTCTCTCTCTCACACACACACACGCAAAGTTAGCTGCAAACTTCGATTAAAAGAGGCTACAGGTGCACATTAACCCTTGAGGGGTGTAAACCCATTGGTAAAAATAGTAAACTACCAACAAAAAAACAACTCGTATTACCCTCTATTATAATTTGTAATTTTTTTCAGGGTCACCGACGTATGGTTACATCTGTAGCATGGGCAGAAGACTTATCCAATATTAACTTCTTCAGCTGCGGTTTTGACCGTCGCATTTTAGGCTGGTCCATTCAGCCTTCGAAGGAGAATTGAAAGCTGCATGTCGTCGCCATGTTCTAATCGTTGTGAAATGTTTTCATTTTCAGTTTTACCTTGTTTATATATGGCCGTGTTGAAGACTGCGTTGGCGGATATATCACATGTCTTCAAAATATTTTTTTTATTTCACAGACATGCTGGTTTCCTCTCGAAATTTTACATCACCGCCGCCGAGCACGTGGTAAATCAGCAATTAAAATTGCAATTAATATATTTATTGGTGCTGGAGAATATCGAACCCGAGTTGCTCGCGTATTGTGAAATTTACAGCGAGCTTAGGCCCCGAGCTAATCCTACGGCTATAGCGGTCAGATGAATATCTACGTTATTTTATTTTTATTTTATAATACGTCGTATACGGTCGAATAACATCTTCTTTATATGAAAAACAATTGCTGTCGCTTAGTCTAGCTGAAACTCGAGAACAGCCTTTAACATTTTTGATGAAATTTTTTGTGTATGTTTGAGTGGGTACCTGGATGGCTTAGATTCTCTATTGGATTCGGTAGGCGGCTCTGTTGTCCAGATAGCCGGAGTGGATGACTAGTATATTAACACTTTCACTGTCCGGTTTTCAGAGACAATGGTAAGACCAATGACCTATGTGTAGTGCATGGAACAGCGAAAGGATTAATATATTTAAACATAAAATCAGTAATACCAGAAAGACCTCAGGGTCTCCGATATATGACGGTATAACCATTTCGTCGCATGTAAAATATCCAAACCGACGACGGGGAACAACGCCAAATGTAGACTTCTGGTAAAGCAGTCGCCGATCCGCTTACCAATTGCAGTTGTTATGGCAAACCTTCACTAATATGGTAGTGACCCATGTTCTGCTTTAAAATCCTACAGGCCGATAAAGAGAAAAAGAAATCGTATCACGAAGTTAAATTGCGATCGATGCTAAATAGTTGTTCATTTATTCGTTCTTTACATAACTCCGTTACAATTTGTGTAAAACGTAATTTACATATTTTACAAAATGACAAGTCGCTATCATACTATTAAGTTTATTTAAAAGTCTTACGCATATGAATGATATATAATTTGTTGTAATTGTGATTTATTAAAAATGTGTTCACATAAATGCAACTTTTTTGTCGTTTGAGATAACAGTTAATTTTTTCTGTGATGTCAGCTAGCGGAGGAGGGAATTTCAAAGCGTTTTACTATATTACTTAACGTTATATATTAATTACATTATGTTTGTGTATAAATAAGTACATAATTGTATTATAGTATTTATTAAATTAATTTTTTCTTTTTGGACTCCTTGGTGGTGTGACGTTATGGCATTCGATAATCAAATATAAAAATGTGATGAGTTTTTTTTAACCTTTAATGAGTACATTTTAGTATACAGGCCATATGGCAGGAGGGGCATGTATAAGGGCGAGTACACAATAGGCGTTTAGAAGCGCGGAAATAAAGCATTTTGATTAGAAATGGGCCGAATATGGATTTCACCGAATACGAATATTCGGCTGAATGTTCGGTAAAACTTTTACCGAACCGATTATTCGGCAGAATCGCCTCGGTACCTAACCAATTTATGTTTTAACTTGTTACTGTAAACCGCGCGCGAATAGCATCGGACTCTGACCCCCCCCCCCCCCCCCGCCACACCCGACATGTTATTGCATCATCTAGTACTGAGAAAATTGCTGGCACATGTTTATGTTTTGACTATTTCTGTGAGAAAAAAGGATTTCGTTGTGTTATTCTTAGTGAAAATAGATAATAATATGATAAAAATGAGTGGCAGGAGATCTACTATTTCGACTTATTTTAGAGAAACTGACGACCAAAGTAAAAGCAAAAAAAAATTATCAAGCTTTCTATTTGCTATAATTAAAAATAAATTTACAGTTTCTCAAACACATAACACTATACAAGTAAATTTAACACGTAAATAAAATATACCTTCAAAAGTAAAATTATGAAAGACATGGCATTACTCAATTAGTACATTTCAATACAGTGCACACTTTGAGTACGACTTTAACGAATGTTCGGTGATTTAACCGAATATTCGGTCGAATACGAATATTCTGTAAAGCTGCCGAATATACCGAATATAAAACGAATATTAGGCCCATCTCTAATTTTGATATGGATTTCTTTATCGATGGAATCCAAAAGCGACCAGCTATTAGGCTAAGGCTCGTCAAACGCCGTGCTGAGCGCGGTGAATGTATGTATGCTATCAACGCGCGCCGAACGCAACGCCGAGCGCCCAAAGTGTACTAGCCCTAAAGTGGCTAGCTCAGTGGATACATCATGTTTAAACTCATCAATGTTCTGTCTATAAATTTTAAGAAATGAAAATCTCAAATTTTATATTATCTATAAGATTCAATTAATTTTATTTCTCACGGTTCTGAAAAATTTCCTTCATTATACACATATTCGTTATGTTTTGTGCAATACTTTTAGATCTTAAAACTTTTGGTTTTTGGGGATTAAAGGATGCACAAAGAATTAATAAATATAAATTGTTGTTAAGGGATATATCTATAACTGTATTGTTGGATTTTAAAGTTTTATTAGACTAAGATTTTCTGTAATAATATTAATAGTAGGTTGAGTCCTTGGTGTAAATCAGAGATATTAGAAATATTTGAGATAGTCTTTAACAAATTAAAGTTATTTAGTAATTATAAATATTGTATTGAAAATCTGTGTATTTGATTATAATTAAATTTAACAGTAATCACATCTTGAAGAAATTAAAACTTTTAAGGTTTTAAAATGAATACTTGTAAAGCTATTTGAACAAATATTCAACTTGACACTGTTCACATTACCTGACAAGTGTAAACATGTAGTGGAGAAATCATACATTGTCAGTTTTACTTTATTTTTTAAATTATATGAAAATACCTTTAAAACACATATCTAATAAACCAGTGAATAATTGACGAACAAGTTTAAAATAATATATAAATTCTTAAACTAGTCAACTAGAAACAATTTGTTGTGAACCAAAGAGCTCAAAGTAATGTTTGCTATCAAATAATTTGTTTGTCGCTTAACCAGTTCAATGCCATTGTCGCCATGGCAAAAATGTGTGCGAACACACCTCATTGAACTGTGCTTATTCACCCTAGGCAATACATCATGCCAATAGCTATCTCGAATTGTTATGAAACTATTCCTAGATATGATTTAATCAGATATTAGTTTAGATATTTGAATTATGTAATAGTGTTTATCACACATTAGCTAGATTGGATTGTGAAAGGAATCATAGTATTGTTTTGGTCATAATCTTTTGTCAATTGTGAATACTAAGATGGATTTTTTCTTTTAAGCTCTGTTTCGCGTTTTGTTCTAGCTTTAATTCTTTACTATGTAACTTTACAATAGACGTTTTTTTTTCTCAAATAATATCTCAAAACCTCACATAATGAGAAATTTATTTGTTTTAACAATATTTTGCTAATTTGTATTATTTGTACATTAAACTTTGATTTTTGTTGTTATTTTAAACCAAACTGATACAAAGTCAAGATACTGATAGAGGTCGGCAAAGGTATCATGTAATTTTATATAAATAATCGCTTTTTAATTCTTCATTGTTTTGTAGATTGTATAATAAAAAAACGAATATAATAATAAATGGATACAGTTGGAAACTAAATGGCTTAATTTAATAAATAATATCGTCAGTTATTCTTGAAGGGATCTGAATATTTTTGTTATGCCGTATATGGTAAGAAATATATAATGTATAATATATTTAAAGTTTTATTTCTTTTAAGCCATATTTTTAGGCCGATTACGTAAGTCAAAACTTAGTGATAGTATCACAGGGCCTAGTGTAAATCTCTGCAATGTGGTCATCATCGTTACATCATTATGGTCTTCACAATACCACTGCTGAATATAGGCCTCCGTCAAGGAATGCCGCGAAACACGGGCCACCTGCATCCATCGACTTCCTGTATGTCTTATCACTTAGTCACTCCATCCAGTAGAGGACCGCCCTACATATTGCTTACGTGACGAGGTTGTCTCTCGAGAACTTCACTTCCCCATGGTTTGTCGCTTTTCGAGCTATTTAGTCGGACCATTACCACTTCAGCTTACTAAGTTTTGGTTGGTCTATATCGGTTACTCTGATTCTACTGCGGAGCAGGTTCTGGCAACATGCATAGCCGAGTTGTTAGTTGAACTATTTGTCCCAGGTAAACATACTCGTCAACAACTACGAGCTTAGTGCCCCAACACCTACCAGCATAGGTGTGACATTGTTTTATCCATGTTTACCTTAAGATTCTCTATTGAGGTCATTAAGGTCAGTTCCGCGAGGTGCGTCTAAGGCACTGGCCACGGAGGCGTGAAGACGCTGCGTCTTGCCGCTGTAGTATGTCACGTTGAGACAGCTGCATTACATGTGGTTTCTTCTTGCTATTATTGCGCGGGTTAAATTAAATGAGATTTTCTAAATTGGCACTTTCACGTCTAGAAGGGGGTAGGTTTTTTGTATAAAATACAGGGTGTTAGTGTAAACACCGTTATCCTTGAAACCAGTGGTTTGGTTTCACTTATAGAACGTAAATTCACAAACGAAACATTTTTTTTTAGAAAGATCTCAATTTTTCCTTAAAAGGAGGAATTTTTGCCTGTCCTAAGCCAGGAAGAAATTATGAAGTAAAAGTTACATCACAAGTTATGTGTACCTATTGTGTTTTATTGGAATGTTGTGTAGGTAGCTAGGACGGGCGGTGATCTTTACAGTGATTACGTCACTCGGGCGCATATGGTATCCATGAATTTACGGACGGTGTCGGACAGAAACTTTTTAAATTTTATGAAAGAAAACAGCGTTCTTTTTTTTAAAATTCGGATAAATATTTTTATATTAAAGCCAACCTACGTATTAAGTAATAATTTGGTCTACAGAAGAAATACCTAAGTACTTCATTACAATTAGTTAAAATTTACTTCACTATCCAAGTATTTATTTACATACCTATACTTGT